CGAGGAATAAAAAAAAAAAATCGAATAGTCGAATAAAATCGACGAATCGCGACAGCCCTACCGTCTTTGAATGAATTATACAAGTAAGGTATTCCAGTGGTAATAGCTCCATTAACACTTTTTGCCAGCCCTTCACAGAGGGGGCTTTATCAGAGGTCCACTGCAAAAGAATGTTTTTCCATGCTGAAAATGTTTTGCATTTCTCGAAGTATTTTACACCAGTAATCCTGTATCAAACGGCATGACCATAAACAGTGAGTCAGAGTACCAATTTCGGTCTTACATTTAAGACAAAATGGGGAAAAGGAACTGTTAAAAGTATGTCTGCGATTAGGAGATATATGTAGCCTGTGCAGTATCTTCAGCTGAATTGCTCTTGCACGGTTACAGACTGATATTTTTTTAGCACCCTCCCAGACTACCTCCCAAACATCCTCATCAATCGGAATTGATAGTTCCTTTTCCCACTTCTTCCTAATATTCTGTGAGTCAGTGCCATTCATAGAGCATAAAGTGTTATAGAAAAGGCTAATCGATGTTCTCCCAGTTGTTTGAAAACCTTTTTACCCGTGCGCTCACCTTTGAACCAGCGCATGCGCTAACTTCATTTTTAACCCGGAACAGCCTTCTTTCATGTGAACAGAGTAGGGAGGAAATAACATGTTAACAATCTCCCTATACTTTAAACAAAGAAAATATAAATTAAAAAAAACATACAAAACAAAGATTACAGTTACCAAAAAAAATAGTTGTATATCCGATTGAAAGTATAGTCTTTTCAAATTAACCTCTTTCCTCTCTCTCTTTTTTTTTTTTTTTTGTAAGTTGAGTTTTTGTGTCCGACCAGACGAACACTTATTTCCAGTCGAAGACGTTTCTCAGAGACCTGTTTTGTTGACTTAAGGGCATCAAACAGAGAGTGGTTGTCTGTCACACAGATCAACGGAGGAGTATTCAGCTCAGCAGTTCCAGTAGTAAGTTCAAAAAAGAGAGTAGTCAGAAAAATGGCATTATCTATTCCATCTGACAGGGCCAGAGTTTCCCTGCCGGAGTACTCCTCACCACACATCTAATTTTCTTAGATTGCCAACAGAGAGGAGAAAACTTCCCTCCTTCTCCCATGAGACCAATCAATGTCCCCCCCTGTGTGCCCCCATCAGGGAGATTTCCAAGGGAAGCATCACTGAAAACAACAAAGTTTAGAGCATCACTGTTTCCCAAATGTTGAAACCTGAGAGTCACCTTTTCAGATTTAAGCTTTCTAATGACCTTATTTGTCTCGTGAATAGACTGGACTGTAGCATACTTTATATTTGATGCTAAACTGCATACATCAAACATAATGTCTGGTCTGGTTTGTTTTGCAACCCACAGTATTTGTCCTATTTTTGACCTAAGCTGCTCTTTTTCAGTCTCATTAAGAGAGGCATCCCTCTGCACGGCATGTGCTACTTGCAGTCGAATAGGCTGTAGGTTTTCAATGTAACTATGCTGATGTACATGAACTACACCATTAATAGTAACAAAGTCTATTCCCACACAGCAGAAATTTTCATGTTCCTCACATCCAACATGTAATGCAGACTTTAGTGTAGGTATCACATCTGTTGAGAAGTTTTGTGAGCCTGCCCAAAGAAAATCATCAACATGACATGCGAGTACTCCAGTAACCTCACACTGTTCATCCAACCAATAGAATACTGCTGGATCTACTTTAGACATTTTACCACCTGTACTTGGCATGATTTCTTTCACTTTGTTGTACCAATACAATGATGCATCTGCAAGGCCGTAAACACACTTGTTTAGTTTCCATAGAACATTTTCTTTTCCTGCTTCAGGAGGGGGCCGGACATAGATTTCTCTGGACAACTGCATGCCCTGCAAGAAAGCAGATTTGATGTCCATAGAATGGGCTTGCCCTTTATTTTGACAGATTACAGCTAATAACAGCCTATAAGAGTCAGAAGCACAGGTTGGAGAATCTTTCTGCAGCTCGTGAATATTAAGCTTTTCAAAACCTCTGGCTACGAGTCGCACTTTGGGCACAATACCATTCGGAGTTTCTTTGAGACTACAGACCCATCTGGTAGAGACACACTTTTGACCTGCATCATCAACATCAACTACAAAAACAAAAACATTGTTTTTGTACCAATTCACCATTTCATCCCGTTTAGCTGCATCAAATGAAATATCTTTTGTTATGAGTACATCAGCCCCTCTATCAGTTGATTCAATGTGAAGATTATCAACACATGACATATCCACTGACTCTTTTTGCCCAGATTGCTGATCCTGTGTGTTTGTTTTACAGAGCCTGGATTGATGTACTCTAACGAGAGTCCCCCCATGTCTTACAAATATAACAGCTCCATCTTGACCAATAACTACCCCTGGTCCCTTCCATTCAGGACAGTCTGCTCTTTTGTAATATACCTTGTCTCCTGTCACATACATGTCATCTGTGGGCCTAAGCTGCCTACGTAGTGCCCTTCTTATTCGCTCAGAAGACTCTGCTTCTGTAAATGCTTTCCTAGAAGCAAGTAAAGCAGAAATGTGTTCTCCCACTTTAGCACTCACAGTGGTACCTTCTAGAGCAGGCAATTTATCAACTAATACAGAAGGAAGGTTAGGATTCTGTCCAAACACTAATTGGTATGGACTGTAGCCATGAACATTCAACATACGGTTCTTAGCCATGAGGGCCCAGTCAAAGGCAGTGTGCCAGTCACATCCATTTTCTCGTTTGACCTTCAGGATGATCTCGGTGAGTGTTTGGTTATGTCTCTCGAGTAGTCTGTTGCTCCAGGGACTGTATCCAGCTGTTGTTCTTGTCTCGATGTTAAAGTTTTCAGCCATGTCTCTGATTTCTTGGTTGTTGAATTCCCCTCCATTATCACTGTACAGCTTCTGGGGGGCACCATGGACACTTATCCAAGTGTGAATGAAGGAGTTGACAATTTCAGATTACTTCTTTGTTTTCACAATGTTTCCGGCGCTGAAATGTGTAAAGTGGTCGATGATGTGAAGATACCATACACCTGGTTCTAACTATCGAGGCAGGCCATGTCCAATAGCTTAAAAGCCAGCACAGCATCAAGAAGCGTCATAATATACTTTTTCATCCGATTGTATCGCTGTTCGAAATCAATTATGTAGTCCGCCATGGAAACCGAACTATTCTTCGTTATTCCATCAAAATAAGAATACACTTCTGTGAACAGAGTAGGGAGGAAATAACATGTTAACAGAAATGACATTAAATTATTATCAATAAACAAATCTTGTTGCTTAACAATGCCCTTTTCACACCAGAACTTAAAGCCAGCATCCATCATTCCTGGTTGGAAGTCTGGATTATATAAAATTGGGAGAAAATACAGAGGTAAATTTAGACCTACCCTCCAGGCGTCTAACTAGCCGCCATGCTCTAAGTGTATTAAGAGTAACAGGATTAACACAACTTTCTTTAATGATTTTAAAACTTTTATAAACAATAGGTCTGGTAATGAATATTTGGATAAACTTGTTTCAATATTTATCCATACTGAGGAGACATCTTTTGTTATCCACTTAGAAATATTTCTCAAATGAGCACCTAACTGATATGTTCTAATATTGGGTAGATCTAAACCCCCTTTAGATCCTGGCAGTTGTAAAACTGACATCTTAAGCCTCGGTCGTCTTTTGCTCCATATGAAAGAGCTTAACCATCCATTCAAATCTTTTAAAACCCTTTTAGAGAACACAGCTGGGATCATATGAATAGGATAAAGCAACCTAGGAAGAACATTCATCTTACTCTATCCTACTCTGCCATGAAACTGGAAGGGAGTTCCAGTTCCAATGATCAAGATCCTGTTTTATTTTCTCAAACAAGATTCATTTTATGCATCTGATTAAAGTTAGGAGTCACAAAGATTCCCAGGTATCCTAAATCCTGCAGGGGACCATTTAAAGGGAAACGGAGATATAGTACTTGGCATATCAATTAAGCAACCAAGAGGCATGGCTTCAGACTTAGTTAGGTTAATTTTGTATCCAGAAAACAAACTAAATAGAGTAATAATATTAATGAGAGGAGGTACTGATAACTCAGGTGAAGATAAAAATAACAAAACATCATCCGCATAAAGGCTTATTTTATGCTGTGTAGTACCTATAGCCAAACCTTGAATGGATGTAGATGATCTAATAGCCTCTGCCAGTGGCTCTAGTGCCATCGCAAAGAGGAGGGGTGACAGGGGGCAACCCTGCCTAGTCCCCCTATATGTAATAAAACTGTCCGATCGAAAGCCCATTGGTAATGACCGCAGCCCGTGGATGATCATACAATATTCTGATCCATTTTACAAAATTGTCTCCTAGTCCAAACCTTATCAGTACTGAAAATAAATAAGGCCATTCTATGCGGTCAAAGGCCTTTTCGGCATCTAATGAAAGAACCAAGCCATCCACCCCCTCTTTGCTTAAACACCTGAATGATGTTTAAAAGACGCCTAACATTATCACATGAATTTTGTCCTTTTATGAAACCAGTTTGATCTTAATTTTTCTGATCCACTTCAAATGTTGACTACTGTGTGTGTGTATGTATGTATGTATATATATATATACACATACATACATACATACATGACATGTAATATTAGAACATAATGTTGCTTATGTTGACTATTGAATTAGCTTTTATTTTCATATTTTCAGTTTTCATTTCAATTTCTGTTTATGTTTTAGTAATTTTATGTGCTTTTGTCATTTTCATTAGTTTTTTTCCTTTATTTATTGTTATTTAACTTCAGTTTTAGTCATTTTAGTAGTTCAACTTTTATTTCAAGTATTTGCCAAGGCAAAATTTCTCTTTTTTCATCTTCAGGTTTTTCATCTAATATTTATATTTTATTTTAGCTGTATTTCAATTAACAAAGTGTTTTTTTTTTTTTATAGTTTTAGATAAAAATAACAAAACTGTCTTTTATTTATTTACTTTTTAAATGATGCACATTTTTGCAGACTCTGAGGGTGTGTAAACTTACGCACTCAGCTGCTGCATAGATCTATTAGAGCAAGTTTATTTTCCTGCATGAGTCAGGCGCTCCATTCACTCCGGCTCTGAGCATCAGATTACCCAGCAGCCCCCATTAGTAGCCACAAATGAATGAAAGGCCAGTTTAGAGTTCAATCAGTCTGATTCAAGAATGAACAGTTCAAACAATAAATTCAATAACCTGTTCAACCAGTTCACTGAAAAGAACCAGTTCAGAAGGATGATTCATTTGCATGTAAGAGGACTGCATGATTTATGCCACTGTGTATGCTGGGCAACCAACATTTGATGTGGGATTAACAAGAACAAGTAAAATGATACTTAATTCAATGTCAAAAAGGTCACATGCTACCATCATGTACCGTTTGTGCTGAGGTTTGCTCCGTTCATGTACGCCTCCATGCGAACATCTGAGAAGGTGACGTTGACCTCGGTGCTCAGACTGACGGACATGGAGCTCAGACACCTGTAAGTGCTGTTCAGCCTCGCCGAGATCTCCGATGCGTTCGTCATCACCGACACAATTCCTGCGAAAGAAACACCTGTGAGCAGACACTCATCCAACACAGCGACCTCTGTGTGTGTGTGTGTGTGTGTGAGAGATTCACTTGAGCTGGAGGATCGTGGAAAGGTGGTGGTGTCACTGAGATTGTACTGCAGGCTGATGTTGGCCACCCGGTACAGCCATCTGTCGCTGGTGAATACGAGAGCCAGAGCGTGACCTGCACCGAACGACACCACCAGCTCTGGAGGAACATCACCGCCGCCGCAGGAACTGCTGCTGCCCACTGCTGCTGAGGATGGTAGCGCAAACCACACCACACTCTAACAGAGGAAAAACACATACATGCAGTATTCATTCGATAAACGAAAAGTGTGGCGAAAAATGTTCAATGACAACCTTTCCACGACTAAGACAAAACAACGATGAGACAACACTGAAATCATTAAACAATGTGACTATATCAACATGCAAAACTGTTGACAAAGAATGACTTGAGATGTATTTAAAAAAAATAAAATAAATCTCTTTACATTTTCTTCAACAAAAAGGAAAACAAGGAAAATAAATATTTGACTGTTTTTATTAAACCTCCATGAGTTTTCATCCTTGGGGTTGCAAGATGTCAAAAGTTTAAATCCCCCTATCAGAGCTTCCCTCTTAAAAGGATACATTTTCTGCCCAGAGTTTTACTTACTCTTCCTAACCTAGCAACCATGGAATTATTGGAATCAATTATCAGGAATTTCACTGCTTGAGCTTTCGAGTTTTACCGTTTTTTATAATGTATAGTCTGTTATTTATATAATAATTTAAGTCAGGAAACTAGTGTAAATAAATATAATATCTTGAATGGTGACAATCATAATCAGTAATCACAATTACAAAATTATTTGATTATCAGTTTAACAGTTTTAAAGTTTAAAACTAGAACATTCCTAGACTATTTATATTAGAGGTCATCCGATGTGGATTTTACCGATACGATAACTAGGTTGGACCACAGTGGCCGATAACCGATTAATCAACCGATAGTTTTTAAAATGGATCCTGAATGAACACTCAAATAGTGCTGAACTTTATTACAAAATATAAATAAATAAAAAAGGAATAAATGTAATAGAATATTAAATATTATTTATACACTGATCATTAATGGTAGTTCATAGTTCATTCACTAATGTTAACAGATGCAAATTTAACATTACTAAATGTTGAAATTAACACACTGTAACGAGGAACAATACTTCTACGGCGTTTATTAACCTTAGTTAATGTTACAAACGGAATCTTATTGTAAAGTGTTACCATTTCATGCCAGGCATTGACATCCTGGCTATGTTTAAATATCTACAATTGAAATCACATATGTATGTATATATTGTATGTATACTCTCACTGTTTTTTTTTTTGTGCTTATATTTTAGAACACTTGATGATTATCTAATTAAAAATAAAATATGCCAGTCACACACTGGACAAAATGCACAGTGTCGCATCTCGGACAATGCTCTATATATTAGCATCAAAAAAATTCAAATGTAAGATTTTCATTTTGGCCCTAGCATAAAGTCATTCCACTCAAGTCAGACAGCAAATGTGCAAAAAAAGAAAGAAAAAAGAATAATGTCTACCAGGTCCACATGTGATGCAAAATATAATTACAGGGTCACAAATAAACATATTTGTTTTAACTAATAATTTTTTTATTAATTTTTTTCCTTTCCTTTTCTTTACTTAAGTAATAACGTGACGTGTAGGCCAAGTATGGTAACCCATACTTAGAATTTGTGCTCTGCATTTATCCCATCCAAGTGCCCACACACAGCAGTGAGTAGTGAACACACACGAACACACACGAACACACACACACACACACACACACACACACACACAATGAACACACACTCCGAGCAGTGGGTGAAGGTGGAAGTGAGCTCTGTTCATTCACTCTGATATGGCATGAAATAGACATAGGGTCGAAACATATTTCAAAAATTGTATAAATTAAATAAATATATTTATATAGAGTGCATCAAAAAATGTGTGAATGTTTGTGTGTGTGTGTGTGTGTGTGTGTGTAAGAGTCATGTGTATTGTGTTTGTGTGTGTGTGTGTGTGTGTCGTGCGTGTCTGCATGTGTGTGTGGTACCGTTCCATTGGCGGTGTTGTAGGAGATGCTGAAGGAGGCGCTGAGTTCTGCTTTAATGCAGGTGGAGTTTCCATCAGTCACCTCAAACGTCACAGCATGAGCCGCAAACACACACCCTGAAACACAACCATCATTATCATCATTATCGTCATCACTGGATGTGAATAAGTCGTGACCCCCAGTGTCCACTAGAGAGCACTGTCACACTGCCGTCTGCACACGCACACACACACACACACACACACACACACACACACACACACACAGCACTGTGGCAGCAGTGGAGTCATTCAGGTTTCTGGGCTCCTACCATCTCTCAGGACCTAAAGTAGGACACTCACATTGAAAAAAGCCCAGCAGAGGCTGTACTTCCTTTGTCAACTGAAGAAGTTCAATTTGCCACAGGCGCAGATGACCGTTTTACTCAGCTGTTATTGAGTCGGTTCTGTGCACGTCTATAGGTGTCTGGTTTGGGTCAGCCAGCAAATCAGATATAAAAAAGACTGCAACAGACTGTTAGGACAGCTGAGAGGATATCTGGTGTTCACCTGCCCAACCTTCAGGACTTGTACATCTCCAGAATGAAGAAACAGGTGGGTAACATCATCACAGATCCCTCTCAACCAGACCACAGCCTTTTTGCATTTCTACCCTCAAGCAGATTTTTATGATCTCTGTGCACTAGAACATCTAGGCATAACAAGTTTTTCCCCAAGCCATCTCCACCCTAAAAAGCTAGCACGCCAATTACTACCTGTTTTTATAACCCTGAAATCCAGTACTCTTGTAGTGTTTATGTCACCTGAGAGTTAGGCAAATAATAGATATTTATATGTCAATACTTATTTTTATTCATACAGTTGTATATACAGTACATTATACACACATCTGTACATAAACCTTCTGATCTAGATGTATATTGCTTTTTATTTTTTTATTATTTTTTTTTTCTTAATCTTATTTAAATGTTCTTTCTATTCTCTAGTGTTATATATGAAAGTATGTATGTAACCAGAGCTCCTGGAAACCACAACAAATTCCTTGTGTGTTTGTGCACACTTGGCGAATAGAGCTCATTCTGATTCTAAACCAGATCTGACATTAAACAAACATTCACAGGGATCTTTGATCCAACCAATCACATCAGTGTCATACTTCTCAGTGTCATACATTTTTACATTTCCAAAACAATATTAAGCTGCATTACGCAAACCTATTAGCACATGATTTCCTGCTTTAAAAAAAGGAACATTCCATAAAATTGACACACAGAAAGTTACATAATTTGAACATGATAGGAAAAACAGGTAATCTCACAATCTCATTCTATTTCACAATTTCTACACTGATCAAAGTGTATTTAACACTGTTATTGTAAGAAAAATCCCATTCATTCTTGAATGAATCAGCTGTTTGAATGAATTAGTTGAATGAATGACTCAGTAGCCCTATTCGCACGGGATTAGTATTACCTGGTGACCTCCAGTCATTTGTAATAATTGCGGATGTTGTCTGTGATCTTAATCCCGTGCGAATCGGCCATGTCTGTAATTTGTAAAGTAAAAATTCCCCCGCAAAAGACCTACCATATTTCGCCGAACACCGAGGTCCTGTGATAATATTAGTCCTGTGCGAATCGGCATCTCTGTGATTTGGCCTGCATTTGGTGGGTCATATATCATTTTTCGAGGTTTTTGTTTCCTGTGCGCTTTTTTATCCATCTTTCGCGAAGAATGGAGCTGCGTTGGAGTGTTTGATAGTATTTTGGGTGCTGTTATAGCTCTACACCATACAATTTGTAGAAAGAAAAGGCTGAAAAGGTTTTGAGGTTAATGTGTTACAAATAAATCAAGCATAAAGCTTGAGATACTATTTTAACCTGGTGAAATGTAAATGTCACAGGGCACGAAACTATATTAATTTCTTTTCTTT